AAATATCGATATCGTCCATATTACAATTTGATCGGCCCGGCATGGCCAGGTGTTAGGGTGCTCGACTCGCAATCTGAGGGTCGCGGGTTCGAATCCCCGTCCCACCAAACATGCTCGCCCTTACAGCCGTGGGGGCGTTATAATGTGACGGGCGATCCCACTAGTGGTAACCCAAGAGGGTGGTGATGACTAGCTTCCCTCTAGTCTTAAACTGCCAAATTAGGGACGGCTAACGCAGATAGCCCTCGTGTAGCTTTTCGCGAAATTCAAAACAAACAAACTTACAATTTGGACAATTTTTATCTGACAGCATAATATCCTGAAATATGTTTGAATTAAATTAGTTTTCATACAAGTTAGTGTTCAATCTTTGTTATACTTCTGTTGTTACTTAGTAAAGTCAATCCACTTAGAATAAAATGAAAGTTCTGTTCTACTTAAACGTGTGACAATTATATTACATTTACGGAAAACTTTTGTTAAAATAAAAGTTAATCATAACCCACTGTCGCTATCTACGTATTTACAATATAGTTGATATTTATGGAAAAATTTTATTAAGATAAAAGTTAATTATAACACATTGTCACTATCTATGTATTTACGATATATTTAATGTTTATGGGAACATTTTATTAAAATAAAAGTTAATTATAACACATTGTCACTATCTATGTATTTACGATATATTTAATGTTTATGGGAACATTTTATTAAAATAAAAGTTAATTATAACACGTTGTCACTATCTATGTATTTACGATATATTTAATGTTTATGGAAACATTTTATTAAAATAAAAGTTAATTATAACACATTGTCACTATCTATGTATTTACGATATATTTAATGTTTATGGGAACATTTTATCAAAATAAAAGTCAATTATAATACGCTATCTACGTATTTACATGACATACAGCAAATGGTCAGTCTGTATCAGTAGGCTTAGAACAAAATGAAAGATCGATTCTACTAAATATGTGAGATTTCATTATTATTTTAATTATCTCATGTTTCAAAACATTGCCGCTATATATTAGACGAAGATTTAAAATATTGTATGTTGAGGGCATTGACAATGGCCAGTTTTGACTTATCTAGCAGCAATGATAAGTTTATTTTAAATTAAAGACAGGACAAAGGTTTTGTTTGCATAAATATTTCCATCAAGATTTATTACACTAACAATCAATATCATAACAATTACACACAGAACACACTAACTGTCTAAATATCTTGGGGAACACCAATCACCATGTTAGCATTCCTTTTCAAAAAACAATTTCACATGTATGTTACAAACTTCGCAATTGTCTTTGTTAAGATCAAAAACTTCAAAATACACTATGTGACTATATACGAAAATTTCTTAGTTTATAAATAAATGTCAAGCTAAGTATTTTATGGTAAATTACACATCATGAATATTAGTTTCTAACAAATCTCTATTTCATATAGAAAACTCATGTTTCATCATAACCCGATGTAAAATAGTTATTATATGGATGTAAAATCACATATCTAACAAGCTTACTGAAAGATTTGTGAACAAAACTTCGAGATATACAAGTATGCTATTTAAGAAAACTTCCTATTTTATAAAATACTGACATACACCTCAATGTAATAATAATACCTACCATATATACTTGTTCAAGTAGATTATTAGTAAAAGTAACCGACAAATACTGAGATAATTGGAGTTCCCCTCGTACAGACCCACAAGAAATCTGTATTCAATCTAAATATACGACGACTTTCTTAATGTTGTCTGAACATGTAAGTTTACCTAATGTCCAGTACTCTAGTTAGTAGTGTCGGCTGAGCATCATGGATAGATTTTAAGAGTTTTGTTATTTCTTGATTATCTGATTATTTTAGTTAAAGCAGTCATGGTATTTTCGTGACTCCAACCCAAGGGCATCAGCTGCTGACTGATAAACAGTGTTCTCAAGGTGCTATAAGCAGCTTTAAGCTCTGTTATGGACAAGCTTGGTTCCATTTCTGCAACAGAACTTGTAAGTCTATTTTGAAGTTCTTTCCTAGTAGCAAACCGTTTGACATTTGATGGTTTAATGTTATTGAGAATTTTTTGTTTCTGTCTGTGGTGCTTTGTCTTGATGTTTCTGTGCAGATTGATCCTTATGAATTAATTATCTAAGTAACAGCCTGTGCTTCTCATCAATCAGGAGTGATTGGTATCATGAATGTTTCCTGGGCAATGATTATTGTTCTTCTCTCAGGTCTCTCTGGGGAATCTTGTAAAGTCTGTATGTTCCAGGTTCCGACTGTCAATTTTGTTTTATTCATTTGCTTCAACTGCTTATATGGAGGACCAATCAGGTGCAGTTACCTGACAGGTTCAAAAGAGGTCTACTTTGTTTTTAGGTTCATTTTCAATGTCTCGTCCCCATATGGGGAGAGCAGTGTTGTCCTTATAAAAGGCTATTCTATCATCTGGGAGGAATACAAATGCCATATCTTCCTCAGTCTATGTCAAGATGACTACCACTCCCAAACCACCAACGAGAGGGTCTGTAGCTAGAAGCTTTCAGTGACATCCTTTGTCTGCTCCCATTGCCACTCACCTGTTGCTGCAGGACTTAAATCAATTTCTGCTAGGACTTGCTTTTTGTTGGTATTGCTGGTATGTGCACTGATGAAATGGGTTAAAATGAACTAAGGCTTGTGCATATCCAAACTCACTCTCTACTTTGCTTCAACCTGATTCTCATATCCTTGTCTGCTGTGGCATCTATAAATTGATTGCATGTCAATATATCCATCATTTCACAACGATGTTCCAGATAAGAGTATTTGTTAAGCCTTTTCGAATCCTCTGCAATCTTCTTTCGTCCTTATCCTGTTGTACAATCTTGTTCTGGATACTTCCTTCTGGTGTGTCTTTCTAAACCTGTTGGATACGATAGCTACTAATAATTGGTAGTTGTTATGGCTCTCAGCTGGAAGGTTACTTAATGTTGTCAAAGCTGGCCCTTTCAAATGTGCAGCAAAATGAATAGCTTATTCATTATTCCATCCATCCATTATAAAAATTGTTTCAAACTACACCTGGTATACGTTCTATGATACATTCCCATCGTAGTTCATTGGTTTCTTGGTTGGTTGATGTTGAATTGGCCAGTTAAATTGTGGAGTTTAATTTGGAAGTGTCATTGTTGGAGTAGACCAGGTAGGCCTTTCAGATGGTACAGCAGTAGTGATAATAGGTATAGATCAAATAAGTTCTATTCCATATTTCGTAGTAAATAGTGTTTTAGGTTGTTACTCTTGAGTCAATGAAGAAAGATGTGTGACTGATTTAATCTTTGCATCTAATAACTCATTTTTCAGCTGCTTTATTCTGTCACTGGTGTTCTTTGCCACCTCATTAATGTCTTTATTTACTTCACTTTTGACTTTGTCAATGTCCTTTTATACTCTACTTTTGACTTTGTCAGTCCTTTTATACTCTACTTTTAACTTCATTTATATCCTTCTGCATTTCTCTAAATTTATTGTTTGATCCCTCTGTATATCCCCTATAGCTTTGTTGATCTTTTTTTTTTGAAATAGTATGTCTCTTTCTCTTAACTTCCTGTCACGTTCTTCTAATTTTGTATCTTGTTTTATACCTCTTTCTTCTTGTTTTTTTTTTTTTATAGATATTCTGTTTCTTTCCGTTAGTTCCTCTTTCCATTGTTTTATCATGTTTAGCACATTTCCTGTCTCAGGTTGTATCATCTTGAATAAAAGTTTTACTTTAGTCAAAATTTTAATTTATTTCACCAGAATATCCCCACTTCTTACACTAATGTTGTAGCATTATTCTTTCATTGGCAGGTTTTATATCTGTTAAAAATATTTCAATGTCCAGTCCACTTAATGATGACAAATTGGTATATTTCCTCCTTTAATGATTCTACAAACCTATTCACTGTGGTAAGTTCTGGCAATGAAGTTATAAAAACAACGATCTTTACTCTCCAGTTAATAATAATAAAAAAAAACTATTTCAGCCAACATTTCACCATTGTGGTTTCATCAGGATTTCTGTACATCTCACAATGGTGAAACGTTGGTGAAATAAAGTTTGTTTTTTATTATCTGGAAATTAAAGGCCTTTTTTTTTCACTTTATTTCCAAATTGACTAGATCCTTTCGGTATGTATTACCATTCCTAACAAACAACTGTGTTAAGTTATAGGCTACATTTACAGCCACTCTTACTTTATTACGCTAATGTAAAACTAAAATAAGCTCGCTTGTACAAAGTAATTAACTATGCAAGACAGCTTACACGAATCCAATAATCTAGTAATCTACTTTCGAATGTACTAGAATTCTCTTACGTTATATCTTTAGAGCTTTCTATATAGCCGTTTCCTATTAAATTTAACATCATTAAGATTCACAGCTAATATATATATATAAATTTCCATATTTTTCGGTGTATAAGACGCACTTTTTTACTCCAAAATTTGATGTCAAAATCTGCTTGCGTCCTATACACCGAAGGTATGAATAATATATATGTATATATATATATATATAT